CAAAAAAAAAAATGGAACTACACATACTTAGTCTTCCCTGTAGAGTTTGGAAGGCCCATAAAAGGAAGAGTTTTGTACAGTATATGATGACAGAATGGTGGTTTCTAGGAATGATGAATTGGAATGAAGTGCTGGGGTGAGAGAGAAAGTGTTCTTTGGGGACCAGTAATTTAAACTTGTTTCACTGTTGAGATACATAGCATGGACTTAGAAACACATCAAAAAATAATGTCATTACCAGCAACCACACCATCATTAGAGATGAGATATTTGACGTATTTGCTTAAATATCAGGTCCTTATATATTCATTGAGGTACATCAGCAAAATCATATTAGGTCTTTATTTAAAATGTTCTTATTCCATTCCTACAGAATTTCCTCTATTATTATCTAGCAATATTCATCTGAACCTGAGACTACTGCTCTTCTTAAAATTTTCACTTACCTCTTAGTTCTGGCATCATGAGTTTCTAAGAAATGTCTTTGTGACTCATGTTTAGAATGATGATCAGCAGCTAATGCGATATCAACGGTAATGAGTCCTAAATTGGCTGACCCAGCTTCAAGCCAATAGGCCCTTCGCAGCACTGCCGGCTGAAGTCCAACTCTGCAATTATTTAATTGCTCAATGTACTGTCTCACTTGAAAATCCTGAATTGCAGCACTGATTCCTTCCCCAACCGATTGATTATGGAGATTACAGTTTGCAACCCGAATTGCGCCCATCTAAAGTTAAATGAAGAAAATGAAACAAAACTGTAATTTCTGTATGTTTAGGTAGCTTAGCCTAAGCTACAGAATACGTGATCATTTCAAACAGATTAAAACACAGGCAGAAAAAGAATAGAAAAAAAAAAGAAATAGAAAAGGAAAAAATGGAAAATTGAAAAATTAAATGCAGTAACAGAATAAAAAGACGTTCAATAAAAAAAAAAAAAAAAAGGAAAAGGAAAACGAGAAGTAATGAAATCACAGAAACTTCACAAGCCTTGATTTTAAACTGCAACCCATAAAACAGAGTGGCAAACAAATGTTTTCAGGAGCCAGGAAGGAAACACAAATGTATTAATACAAAACCTAAAGATATTTAAAACCAAATCTTTTAAAACTACTACCAGTTTACATCCCTGCCATAAAAGCAATCTACCAGTTTATATCCCTGCCATAAAACAATGTTTTAATAATTCAGTTAGAGTAAAAAAGTCATGAAAGTATGCTTTAAAAAATACAATACTGGAAGAAAACATGGATGAGTAAAACGTAGAAAGCTGTCTTTTAAAATTTTTGGGTAGTTTATGAGATAAAACATAAATGTGTATTGTATTTCAAGAAATGGAGGTTTGGTTTAGTAAAAAGGAAAAAGAACTATACTGGCCTAGAAAAACACTTACCTTGATATTTGTAGCACAACCATGCTCCACAATATAAATATCAGCTCCATCTACTGCTAAACGAGTCATTGTATATTTCAGATCATCTGAAGTTGGACAAGGCCCAGGAATACAACTCAACTAAAATAAAAAAGGATTATAAATTTAATTCATCACCAAAAACTCATTATTTTGCTAACTAAATAAATTTTCTTATTTAAATAAAAAAAATTTGGTTATATGTGTATTTTTAAAAAATCAATTTCATTCTTTTATAATAAATGAAATCAGCAGTTAAAGTGTTATCAGTTAGAAAACTAATAAGAAAGCACGTACCATTTTCATTCAAAAGGGGCAAGCAGCAAGTCTAATTGACAGAATACATATATAACTTGTTACTGAAACTCACAAAGAATAAAGTAAACTGATAAGAAAACTATGTCACAGGTTTATAAGAATTATATAAGAGTTTACAGTTGTAAGATTTTCTTATGAGTACCACACACATGTGCAATTGTTTTCACACATACCCACAAATATTAATATAACTGTAAACGTTATGATGATATCCAATCTACACAGATTTAATTTTATTTATAAAACATATATTTGGTAATGTTTAGGTTGGAAGAAAATGTACATATCACCTACTTCAATGGATTTCTTGAGGAAATGGCAGCCCTGAGTAAATTACTGGCCCAACAGCATGTAAATGCTCATTAGTGGCACAGTCAGAACTAGACACAGGTGTCTTGCAATATAGTCAATGTTTTATACTGATATATTTCCTCCAGGCAAAAACAGATCTTATCAGATTAAAGTGACAGGAGATCAGTGGTTGCCTAAGTGGAAGCTGACTACAAAGCTACACAAAGGACTTTTCTAGGGGGATAGAAATGTTCTGTCTTCACTGGTGGTATTGATCACATAGGTATATACAGCGTTTGTCAAAACTCAAACTGTAGGCCGGGCGCGGTGGCTCACGCCTGTAATCCTAGCTCTCTGGGAGGCCGAGGCGGGCGGATTGTTTGAGCTCAGGAGTTCGAAACCACTACTAAAATTAGAAAGAAATTAATTGGACAACTAAAAATATATAGAAAAAATTAGCCGGGCATGGTGGCTCATGCCTGTAGTCCCAGCTACTCGGGAGGCTGAGGCAGGAGGATCGCTTGAGCCCAGGAGTTTGAGGTTGCTGTGAGCTAGGATGATGCCACGGCACTCTAGCCCGGGCAACACAGTGAGACTCTGTCTCAAAAAAAAAAACAAAAAAACTCAAACTGTACAACTTAAAAAGGGTGAATTTACTGTATGTAAATTATGCCTCAATAAAGTTTATTTTAAAAAATTGTAATGCAACATAAAAGCTTTGAGTTTAAAAAAAAAAGATGAAGAAGGGGGAGGCATCTAAGAGCACGTGAGGGTTACCCATAAGAATCTAACTGCCTGACATATATGACTAAGAAACTAATTCTGGGGAGCCTGGCAATGTGTTTATAACAAGGAAAAAATAATTTTATCACCAATTATAGCTGTTTCCTTTATTGTCAATAAATAAGCACAGGTAACACATTTTATTTTTAGACATAAAATTAAAAGCAAGATTAGTTACTTTCAATTCACAGTAATATAATAGCAAACAAATATAGTTTGTATAGTAAAAGAACAACAACAACAAAAAAAGGAAAGACACATACAGGAAAGAACTAGAAAGAAAAACTAAGCTGTTAACAAAAGTTATGTCTGTGTTGTAGAGTAAGTTATTTTTCCTTTTTGAAACTACCAAGTTTTCCAAGATTTCTGAAACAAGATACTTCCAGAATTGGGGGAAAAATGTGTTCTTCATGGCTATGTACATTTGATTTAAGCTGACATCTCAATCTTTCATTTCTAAAAAATGCATAAATGTTTATAATACTGCTGATGTATATTTAACATACCTTGGATTCACAGAACCGACGATCAATTCCATGCTGACATATTATTACTGACTTTGGTCTTTCCAGTTCATACTCCCGACATACCACATGAAAAACAAATGTCTGTCCCCACTCCAAGAGGCATGCCAGCTACAGATATGAGTGACAGGTTGACATATTGTTAGCATTCTAAACAAGCATTCAGAGTTTAAAAGCTTATGAAGAATATTAACATGGCTTGAAAGAACCTAAATGATGCTTTAAAACTGCTGCTAAATAATCCACTTGTTAGCCAATGATTTTTCTACCTTCGCATCATTTATAAGTTTGTGTTACTTTTGATTTGTGAATGACAAAATGCATTGTCAAAATGAAAACTCATTTCAACTGAAAATTTTCATTTCCGCAACTTTGAAAGCAAATAATTTTATTCAAGGTTATATCTTTCCTCTTATATAGCTAACTAAATTCCTCCACATAGAAAAGCACCTAAAATTCTCTATATAATAATAAACCAAACTTTGTTGTGAAATTTTTGAGTATCTAATTATCATATAAGCTGTAATTTTTGAAAAACTAGGTATTTTGAAGATTAAAGTACTTTTGTTTATGTAAAGCTTAATATATTCTTCAAATCTTGAATTTAAAAAAAAACTTAATTTTATAATTTATTAGAGTTCTTAAAAATAAAAACATTGAGGGATAGGTATACAAGACATTATCCCTCCAAAGAAGCATACAATTTAAACTTTTGGAAAACAAATTTCACTTTGAAAACATGCGAAAAATGGAATAAACATAAAAGCACCTATGGATTCATGCACCACACAGAAAACAGTGATACCAAGATTCTATGCAGAAGAAAGAAATGTTTCATTTTATAAGGGCAGTTTATAAATATATGAGATTCTAGCAGTCTTTAGAATAAAGGAATTGTGTCCAGTCTTGCAGAATCAGCATGGCTTTATTCCCTTGTTAGGAAACAAGCTGCTTTGTTATATGCTTAAGTTTTTACTTGTATACTTAGGGACAGGTAATGGGAGATAATAAGGAGAGGACTTACTACAAGGCCAGTGAGCAATTATTTCTTTTTATCCATTTTTATACATTTCATTGTACATTTATTTTCACCCATTTTCATACTAATCGTTATACAAATATTATATTGAGATGTCCATTCATCTCTATAATATCCCTTTTCAATTCCATCCATTTTCCTACAATATTAGTTTTTGCTGTCCTCTGATAATTTCTTCCAGGTATACAAGGTATCTGGATTCTTTATTTACCTTCTTGTTGCTACTACCTAATCTAAATTATTTGTTTCATATTGATTCTGTAATTTTTTGTCAAAATTGAGTATGTACATTTCTATCACATTCCAGTCTTCCGAAATGCCGAAGTAAGCAATGATAATATAATAAATACACGACTCGACGGGTGAAATGTTACAATAATATGGCAATTCAACTAAACCTCAAGGGTCAGTTAGAACTAAACAATCCTTAAGGCCTCTGAGCCTTCTAAGGATTGTATGGAACAGGGGGTTCAGGGGGAATTTATCCAAAAGGATCACACTCTTCGCACTCTAGACCAGATTTACTTACCAGTAAATTCACTTTTATTTTTTTAAAGTAGCCTCCACATCTCTAAATAGCAGGTATAAATCACGTTATCTTGCTTTAGGACATGACAAGGAAAAAACTGTGCTACCCAATTATTAGCATCATTAAGGGCTACTTTTAAATTCAACTTAAGAAATATACAAGAAAGCAAAGTTCTTAGAAAATTATTCCACATACTAGAAAAAGAAGATTATTCCAACAGTGGAGGGCCAACTAATATAATTTTAATAATACATTAACTTGATTTCTAGAACAGTTCTTTTCCCAAAGAAAGTCTTGAATTCTTGTAAGTATTATAAAGAACTACATAACAGTACACCCATCAATTATATGAGGTTCAGAAAAGTAAAACTACTCTGATTCATCTATAGCTAAGAAAATTCCGAAGTGCAAGAATGACTTCCATCACAATGTCATAAGTGGAAAGGCAATGAACATTCAAACATGCATACAAATTATTCTTGGGAAGGCAGGTAAAGAAAGGAAAGAGAAAGTCAGTCAGGAGATCGTACTCTGAAAATCATACCTGTGGTGTTGTGACCTTAGCTGTAAGGCTTCCAGCCTGCACATCAATTAGCCATGCATATTCTAAGGAATCGCTTCCTAAAGGAAGACCTTCTGCTGAGAACATAGCATGTGCTCTCAGCTGGAGACCTGACAAATTGATGTGACCTTCCCTGAGAACTTCATCCACAGGGGGTCGCTGCTGAAAACAATAACAATTAGACTGTAAGAAGCACAAGAAAATCACATTATAATTTCTAGTTACTTATCTCCCTCCTCCAGATGAATAATAAAATCATGCTCTCTGGAAAATAAGACTTCAGAATCCACAAGCTCCTAACACAACCCTGGGCCCACAGAAGGGTATATCCAAAAACATTAAGCTTCTTTAGTGACAATATCTATGAGAGCCCAACTACAATGCAAGATAGCTAGATCCTAAAAAGTATACAGATCTCTAATTGGTAACTACCTCTACGAATAAAAAGAAACTATGGTAGCACTCTGACAGGGAACATGAAAGGCCAATCTTTTTGTAGGAAAGCTGGGAATCATGAGATTACAATATCAAAAAGAAAAAAGAGGAACAAAGATCCTCATATGACCATAAAATGAAGAACTGGGGGGTGGGGGGTGAGGGAGTCAACATCTACATAGATTCTGAGGACTATGTAAATAAAAGAAGGATAGTTTTCTCTTACAGAGAATAATTAAACACTCACTACTAAAAAGCAGCATACATTTCAAAGAGAAAATTTCTAACACATACTCAGAGAAATAAAGGGTATGGAACACTAGTTCCACAGAACATTAAGAATATAGCATCAAATAAGTTTGGAAATGCCCTACCCATCAGTAGGGCAACCAATTTCTGTTGAATCTACCTCCCAATCTCTCACAAATGCACTGACTTTCTTCCATCTTCACTGCTGTCATCCTGGTCCAAACAGCATTACATCTTGTGAGGACCATTGCAAGGCTTCCCAGCGTTTACTTTTTACATTTCTGCTTCATACTCTACCAACAACCACAGAGATCTTTTAAAAATGCAAATCTAATCATGTTCTTCCCTCTAGAACCATTACATGCTACCAAAAGCACTGTCTATTTCTCCTTGCAGCGCTTTTTACACTTGAATTTATCTTAACTTTCATTTCCTCAATATTTAATTTCTCCACCAGGTTCATTAGGGTAAGGACCATTTCTGTCTTGTTCACCAAGTATCTCACTGCACCTAACAGAGTGACCACAAAAAGTAAATGGTGCTAACTAGACAGATTTCTTTACAGCAAGTGCTCTCAGAGCCTCCAATATGTAAGTATCCACTAAGACAGTTCACAGATATTTCCCAACCTAATATTACTATGGCAGTCCTCTTCATGTGTAGGCCCTCTCACAGGCTTAGTGTTCCCTGCTTTCAACTCATCTTTGGACAAATATTCTTTATTTTTGAGGATAAGGGCTGAATCTCATTTATAAGGAGCTTTTAAAAAGAAATTTCAAGTAGTGACAACAATAATAGTTCTAGAAACTCTTTTGATACATTTTTTTATTGTCATCCAAGCTGTGTGACTTTATATAAAATCACCTAACTGTTCCAAGCATTAGTTCCCTTACCCTTTATCAGAGGGAATTGGAAAGCATGGTCAATAAAGTTCTCTTCTGGCACTGAGATTCAATAATTCTCAGTATAAAATTTTTTATGATTTTTTTTTAGTTCAAAAATACATGTGGATCTTGGCCTGTCCTCCTAAGATGAAGCCTACATAGCACACCAATAAGGATTATAATCTTAAGTTTTATTATGGTTTGTATCATGTTGTGGGTTGAATTGTGTCCCCCAAAAAGGTATGTTCAAGTTCGAAGCCCTGGAATCTGTGAATGTGATCTTTTTTGGAAATAGAGTTTTTGCAGATATTATATAATCAAGTTACGATGGCGTTACAATGAATTAGGGTGGGCCCTAATCCAACGCGACTGGCATCCTTATAAAAAGAGAAAAACTGGGACACGCAGACACACAAAGAATGGCATTGAAGATGGAGGCAGCAATTTGAGCAATGTATCTGCAAGCCAAAAAACACGGATTGCTGGCAACCACCAGAAACTAGGAAGAAGCAAGGAAGAATCTTCCCCTACAGCCTTCAGAGAGCAAGTAGCCCTGCTAACACCTTGATTTAGAACTTTGAGCTTCCAGAACTGTGAGAGAATAAATTTCTGTTAAGCTACCCAGTATATGGTACTTTGCTACAGCACTCCTATGAAACTAATACATAAGATGACCACAAAGTAAAAAGCGTATGGTTTCATAAGTTGGACACAGTAATCCATCCTTCACCTTAGATTTTTCACCCTGAAGCCCTGAGTTAAGACTAATGCTACCAGGAATAAGTAGCTACAGGTGTTTGACCCAGATGTGAGCCTTGTGAGTAGTCACAGTATGAAGCCTCCTACCATATAAGAACATTAGATAGTACAGAGACAAAGAAAAAATTGGGGGGAAATAGTCATATCAACACTATAAAATGTAAGCAAGTTAAGTAAATAAGCAAATTTCAAGAGGATATATACCCTGTCTTTGGGGTAAATTATGCAGTGCTAATCATCTAGGAAACAAAATATCACCAGACTCCTACTATCACTTTGATATCTCCACCCCATGAACTTCTTTTCTAATCCCCAAATAAATCTTACTTTATAATTCAGTCTCTCTAGAAGTTTGCCATACCTCTTTAATAAGGGTTAATGTGAACCTTCATAATGAGCTCAATAAAATGTTTTTTATGTCTGGTAAAGCCTTTTGAAAGTATAATGATTAAAATAAAAGTTGAAGTTCGACCAGGTAATTATAGGAAACCAGGGACATTCATCTAAGACTCTCAGAACTCACCCATAAGAAGAGCTTTTCCCTTTTACTTTTATCAATTTTCTCAATAGACTGAAAAAAGGAGATGAGTTCCCCCTCCACACACCTGCCTCCCAGAATAAAAAAACAACCAATTCTAATGACCCACTAATTACAGAGAGAAGGACAAGTGTTATTTTTAAGATTTCTATGGCAAGTTAAAGTGTTATGCAAATAAAATCTTTGTGATGACAGAATAGTTCCGTATCTCCATTTTGGTGGTGGTTACATGAACCTACACATGTGATAAAATGACCCAGAATTATGAACACACATTGTACCAAAGTCAATTTCTTTGTTTTGATATCATACTATAATTATGTAAAATATTTATACCAAAGGGACAACTAGGTGAAGGGTGCACACAGGATCTTTCTATACTATCTTTGCAACTTCCTGCGAATCCATATATATCTCCAAACAAAAGTTTAAAACAGCAAACATACTCTGTGTCAAAACAAAAACAATGTCACACTCATATTAAGTTTTAGCTATTACTATCTTAGCTATGCCAAATATACATATATGAAAAATAAAAGTCTATGGAGAAAAATATAATCAGCTATGGCAAAAGACTGAAAAGAGAGTATGCTATTTTAAATAAGATAATCAGTTACTACTATAACCCATAATAAATGATCATCCATTGATGACTTTGAGTGTCAGATACATCTTCCTGGTTATAATTTTACTCTGCTTTGTATTAAAATCCATTTATATTAGGTGGGTGCAAAAGTAATTGCAGTTTTAGCATTGTTGAAATTTGCTGTTTGATATTGGAATACATTCTAAAATAAATGTGGTTATGTTATACATCATTTTAATGTGCATTTCTCACTTTATTTTTTTTGCTAATGACTTATTACTTGCTGTTTATTTTATATTTATTTTAGACTATGGAAA